GGGGGCGGGGAGCATTTTCTGAGGGGGCAAGGTCGGGGGTCCCGCAACGGTGGCCTCGGCTGTGGGGATGAACTGCGGGAAACCTGTGAAGAGAGGGCTGGCAAAGACCCACATCCTGTCAGCTCTGCACTGAGGATCCCAAACACACCTGGACTCACTGCCTTCCTCTGAGATTTGCTGGTTTTTTGTGGTGGTTCGTTATTTTTCCAGGCCAAGCCCCAAACCATGAAACCCGAGAGTTTCTGTAAGCATCTTTCCGGCAATCCCCAAAGAAAGCTCTCTTTTCTGAATCATCAGATCACATCCCGTGCACCAATTCACATTTAGCTTAATTACTGCTGCCTCTCGCTGATCATTTTCACTGCAGATTTACCCCTCCTCATGGCACCCCCTCAGCCGACGTGCCCGCCAGAGTTCCTTTAAGCGGGCTGGGCTGAGCTCAGTGCTGGGACCGTGGCGTTGGTAAAGCATGCCTGGAGCACGGCAGGTTTACAGGACCCCGAGTCTTGCCTCGCGGTTTGGGGTTGGCTGAAATTAAACGATGAGCGTACTGGTAGCTTCAGAGCTTGCTACATTGCTGTTTCCTGTGGCACTGTACCTGCTTTGGCACTTCTTGCACGCGCTTCCTGGCTGAGGAGTTGACTTCGAGGCTGTTGCCAAGCCAATTTGTTCTCTTATCCAGGTAGTTTCCAGCTTCGTATTGAGATTAAGCAGAGTGTGGCCAGCAGGTTGAAGGAGGTTCTGCTCCCCCTCTACTCTGCCCTAGTGAGGCCTCATCTGGAGTTCTGTCTCCAGTTCTGGGCTCCCCAGTTCAAGGAAGATAAGGAGCTACCGGACAGAGCCCAGCGGAGGGCTACAAGGATGGTGAGGGGACTGGAACATCTCTCCTATGAGGCAAGGCTGAGGGAGCTGGGCTTGTTCAGCCTGAAGAGAAGGCTGAGAGGGGACCTTAGAAATGCTTACAAATATCTGCAGGGTGGGTGTCAGGAGGACGAGGCCAGACTCTTTTCAGTGGTGCCCAGTGACAGGACAAGGGGCAATGGGCACAAACTGAAGCACAGGAAGTTCCGTCTGAACATGAGGAAGAAATTCTTCCCTCTGAGGTTGACGGAGCACTGGAATAGACTGCCCAGGGAGGCTGTGGAGTCTCCTTCTCTGGAGATATTCGAGACCTGCCTGGATGCGGTCCTGTGCAGCCTGCTCTGGGTGACCCTGCTTCAGTGGGGGGGTTGGACTGGGTGACCCACAGAGGTCCCTTCCAACCTCTACCAGTCTGTGATTCTGTGATTGACAATTTTTGTCTTACCACGGTGATTTAGTGCAATATTATGTGCTATTGAATTCTCCCAAATAAAACTGTTTCTTCCCATGGAGGGCTTCCAGTGGTTGCCAGTCAACTCTCATCATCAGAATGATGATTGCATTATTTTGCATCCATCAGTTGTTCATGACAAAATAGTTGATAAGTCAGAGGTTGCTAGGTTGTAGCTGAAGTTAATTAATACATCTGCTTGCTAGGACTTGTTAGACTTGTGGGACTGTGGAAGGTGAGAGCGGGGGGAAACATGGTATGGAAAGACAGTCAGTAGAACAAAACAGCGTGCTGATATGATGAAAAAATAGACAATGAGAAATACAGGACAAAAAAGGGAGTGGGTGGTCCAGCCTAGTCGGAACCCTTGCTACGGTCCTGAGAAGCCCTTTTAAGAGGCTGGCTTGTATGCAACGCTGCAGGTTTTTTAACCTCCCTTTCTCTCCTCCTGCCTCTCCACTAACATCCCTCCCACCCCCTCCCCAATCTTGAACAGGTCTGGAGTTCAGTTAAATGTTGGGGTTGTTATCTAGCCATCTGAATAAATAAACAAACACGTGGCAGAGCAGCTTGAGGGTGTATACAGGGATCAAACAGCAAGTAGTTACCTGACTGGTTTGAGCTAACCTAACTCCACAGCGTGGTGGAAAGAAGCAGTTGTGCTCTCCCGCATGTTGCCACCTCCACCTGCTTTTGGGAGCTGATCCATCTGGAAAGTAAGTTTTTCTCCATTTTTTTACGAGGTTAATTATGAGATTGGACAGGTCCCACATCCTGTAGAACACATGGCTGTACAAATGTGAGCTCTGTTACTGAATCCAAAGGCTCAGAGTTACATCTGCCTCTAATCATTCCCACATGCATTCTTTCATACGTTCTGCTATTCGTTATGGTTTCCTATCATGTGCTAATTGATTCATTACTTTATGCTAAGTGTACAGTCACGTGCTAGTCATTAGCAGTCCCATATGTTGAACTCATGATGTGTATCTTTAAATGCTGTATCTCCTGGTCTGCCAATTCATGGATGTACATATGTTGCAGACCTTCATTCATGTGTTGATGAACTTTAAACTTCCTGCTCGTTAGTCTTATATGTAATTCTTTAGTCACTCTCTGGAGCTCCTCATTGCAGTTGTGTTACAGGTGTAATTAGGGGTGCTGATATGTACATCTGTGCTTTAGCCTGTGGTACTACAATGTGTTTGAGAGGGGAAGGAAAGACTTTTGAAACATCCTGTGGCGTGTTTGAAACATCCAGCATAGTAATGTCAGTATAAACCCCATGTTCAGGTGAAGCTATGTTAGAACATGCAAGTTTTGCATGAGTTAAAACTCCATAACTGGCTCAGAAAACATGATTCTGGAAAAGCAAATGTGGCTGGGAGGAGGCCAAGTGAGTTCCTGAGGTCTTGCTGGTAAGGAAGTTCACGGGTCAGAAGAAATGAGTGGGAAAAAGTGGAAAGAAGGGTGTATCACTCTTACAATCCCGACCTGCAGAATTTCAGAATAAAGAATTTAAGGAATCTAGAGTGGCATCGAATTTTTTAGTTTTATAGGAAGAAGACAGACTACTTATGGTGTTAGTACTGACACATAGCATGCCCCAAGATTTGCCAGAAATGCGAGTGCAAAAAAAATAATTACTGCTTTCTCCTGAGTTATTTCTACTTTACGCCTGAGGTGAATGAGTTGTACCTGTAGTCGCGGTGTGACACAGTTTTAGGTGCTATAATAGTCTGTGAATACCCAACATCAGCATGGTGTAGAATGATCTGTAGAATTCAGACCATCCTCATTTCCTACGCTATTTATTGCAGGATCTACTGGCCTGGGGGGAAATAGCTGAACCCCTCCCAGGCTTTTATCTTCCAAGCCCCGAATGAAGCAGCTGAAAGTCCTGTTGCATGCAGATAAGGAAGGGCAAGTAAAGAGGCTGGGAGTGCGATCTGGGTAAAAACTGGCTCTCCAAGGAAAAGCTAGTGCTTAAGCATCGTGTGTTGTGGGCCAGGAAGCAATCCCTGTGGGAAGGGAGACAGAGAGTCTTGAGTAAGGGCTTGTGTAATACCTGGCCTGAGCTGTCCCCGTGGCTGCTTGCTCCATACCGCCTGCTTGGGGGGGAAAGCCAGGCACAGGATGATTTCTTTTCTGCTTGTCACCACCAAAACTCCCAATTCCCTGCGCGCTCAGCCTGCAGCGTAAACCCTGTGGGTGCAGCTGCTGATGCACCAGCCTCCGCAAGCCGTCACGTAGTTGGGCTCCGGGCAGCGCCCGGCTGGGGTGACCTCGCACAGGGCCCCAAGGGAGGTGACAGCCCCTTGCTAAGCCATGCGCAGCCTTCCGGGCGTTTTCTAGGCGAGAGCTCCCAGCCTGGGCGCCTGTACCAGCCTCCCCAGCTGCTGAAGCTGGCCCTGGCTGTAACCCTTCCCTATAGAGTCCTTACTGGGTCGGTGGCCAAGGGGGTGTTGCTGCAGCGATAGCAGCGGCGCCTTGATGTGCTGGGGCTGCGGAGCGTTGTGCGAGAAGGAGCTGCGGGGAGCGGAGGAGAATTACACAGGATCACGTTTCTCCTCTGTGAGCCGAAGAGGTTAGTGACTATTCCTTAATCCCTGCTAACCGTCATTAGGATTTGGAAGCGCCGCTTTCGTCTTCTCACCCTCCTCCACCTTTCCCAAGATCGCTTGCCACCGGCGTTTCCCCCTCCGTTGCGAAGGAGTGGGGGAGTCGTGGAAGTCACGTTGTCCTGGCTGCTCCAAGGGCACCCACCACGCTGGAGGGGACAGGTCAGCACTCGGGGAGCGGGGGAGGGGACAGAGAAAAAAGAGGAAGCCCCTTTGTTCGGAAGAATGTGCAAGGTGCAGTGAGGCAGAGTATTAGCTTGTAAATGATGTGGATGGAGCCAAGTAGCATCACTGGGCAGCCAGAGCACTGCATGGTGAGAGCTCATTTAAAACCTGTCCTACAAAATGACTTCTGGGCTTTTTAGAAGTGCTGAGCTTCCTGCAAATCCTGTTAAAATCCATGTTTACTGCAGGTGTTTGACATTCCCTGCTGAAACAGCAGACCATTAACCTTGCTGTACCTCGGTTTACCCATGTGTGAAGTGGGAGATGAGAGTGTTTTCCTTTTGTAAAGCAATGTGGTGGGGCCATATTCCAGACATCCTTTGGTGGGAGAAAGGTGATTCTTACATTCTCAGATATGGTACAGAATCTATGAGTAAAACACATTGACAATTTATTAATAATTACTTTGTGCTGTAGTCACAGCTACCACCAATCTCTAACAATCTTAAAAAAACTGCCGTGCACCGAGGCTCAGTCTACACACAGAGAAAAGACTGGCTCAGGCTTTATATAACTCTCCTGGCATCGTGTTGAACGTCTGTGTTGGAGCTTGTTCAAAAATAAACCAAGCTAGTGTTAATTAGGGCAACAGTTTATTGAACTGATTTTGTGTGAAATTGTTTTTATCGAACTCCTTGCATTGGTTTGCCAAATTAATTTTCCTGGAATGAGAATGGTCCTTCAACTGTTAGTTCTCTGATTACAGATGTAAACACAGAATGACACTGTGCCAAAAACCAATAACAGTGTTTGAGCACTTTCTGTCATTTGTGTCAATAAATGGGAAAATAAAGACAAATCAGTTTGAATAATATAAATCCAACTTGAAGTTTAATCTTCACAAAATAAAGAGCAATAGGTAAATATTTTAAATTATTTTCAGCAAGTATAAGAAAACCTTAGTTAAAGTCTTACTAAAAACTATTGTCACAAGCAGTGCATGCACTTAGATACTCACTAATTGATAGTAAAATATAAACGATTGATATAATTCTTACTACTGGATTAGGGAACTTCCCTTATATTGGAAGGCTGATGATTCTGGACTTGTGCTTCTGAGCTTATGTGCATATGGCTAACAAACTTTTTTCCTAATACCAGCCTCACAATTTCTTTAGACAGTGAGTTGAGTTACTGTCTGTGAGCAGCTGGAGTTTAAGTCAATGAAGTATGGTTTGTGTTATCCTTATAGGAATGGCAATGCTTATTTTTATAGCTAAAAAGGCAAATCAATCTTCATAGTTTTCAACTTATTTTCAGTGTCCTAATTATTTTCCAAAATGTAGTTCTAACTGGGTGTTGCAACACCCACTCCCTACCCCCCAAAAAAACCCCAACAGACCACCACATTCAGCTCTGAGAGACTTAATTTTAAATGTCAAAGGGCCACTTTTTTTTTTTTTTAATGATGAACGTCTGCTGTATCCACAGACTTCAGAAATTAAGCTCAGGAGATGAGCACAGGGTGAGAAAAGGGCCACTGATTTCTGCACTAAAAGTGAACCATCCTTGTCAAAACAAGTGAAGATGAATGAACAAATTAACTGATCAGTTTTCAAATTAAAACTGGAATCGCTTCCCATCTTGCACTTGGGTGTCAGGACTGGAGTAAGATGCAGGAGTGGAATGCACACTGGCATTTTTGCTTCTTAATGATGACTCTGAAGTCACCTCAGTTTCATATGGTTTGTAGAGAGGATATTGCACCCTACATTGTGCAGATTTGTTGTAGGAAGCTTCAGTGGGTGTTTTCCATTACCACGGGTGCAGTCCGTTGAAGCTCTGTCTGTGCTGCCATCCTTGGCTAGGTAAGCGCCAGTCAGGAGATAAAAACAAGCCAAAACTGGAAATAAGTGGAGAAACTAACAGAAAGAGCTTGGGTGGATGTGATAAAGCAGTGTTTGCAGTGGGAGAATAACTCCCCAGGAAAGGAGTTCCTGTGTTTGACGCAGTGGTACATCAACATATGCAGGACCGGGGACAACTCGTTCACCTCTAGTTTTCAGGTAACCGTAGATGTTTCTGAAGCTTGTGGCTAGTGCACAGTGTAGTAAAAGAGCTTGTGTTATGCTTGCACTGCACTTTCTTAAGCAAGGCGTCAAAAAGGTTACTTCGCAGAGAGAGGGGAGGGAATGGGGTTTAGGGAAGAAAAGCAGTCTGAAAGCCAAGGCACCTAGCAGCTTAATCCTGTAGTAAAAAAGATGCCCAAACCCTCAATTGATATGTGCCCTGTTGTAACATGGTAGAACAAAGGTTGCTGAGGGCCTATCCCTCTCCTGTGGAGCCAGTCTTGAACTGTGGAAAGTGTTCTTACCTACGCAGGGCCAAACTGTTGGGCTTACATCTTGAAACCTTACAAAATAAGTGCAACTGTAATAAAAATGTAAATATACATGTGAGTTGTTTCTTTTCAACTAAGTAAAAAGAGCCTTAGCTTTTTGTCTACCTGAACTTAAGCGTTCCCTAGACTCATGTTTGCAACACAGACAGAGCTCTACTGTGCTAATAAGTATTGCAGAAAACACACCTGACTGGGAAAGATAATGAAATGCGTTTGCTAATCCTGTTATTCCAGATGAGTGCAATCCACCCCTTTAACAACATGAATTCAACAGCATGAAAGAAGTTTCTCCCTTTTTTTTTTTTTCCCTTCTTTCTTTTCAGAATAGTGTTATAAACCAGTTAGAAAGACCCTGTTTGGGGTGACTAATGTTCCTGTTATAGTAACTACCCTAAACACTAAATTAAAGGCTGCACTACACTGGCTAATAAAGCAAGCTGTTCTCATGGCTCAAGTAATCTTACTGTGTTGATTAGCTTTCCCTCTTGGTGAAATATGTAGGCAGAAAGGGATCTTTATTGTCTTGTCATTGCCTTTGTTCTGTGAATGAGAGGGGAGGAAAGCTGCCAGAAAGAATATGGAATTATTAAGTAGTCCCTACATACGAGAAAGTAGTAGTACAGGATATGAGGGGAAAAGTAGAGACCACAGTCCTGCTAGTTGAAACGCCATGGATGTTTTTTAGCTATGCTAAAAGCTATAAGGATTTGTGAACCTTTCTGTTGCTAGGGAGAACAGCCCTCAGTCAGTATTTACACAGATTAGCAACAGAAGACTGGTTAGTCTGTTATTTAGCAATTAGAGACCACGGTGACTTGCTCATACTTGTCTTCGGAGTAATTTGCTAATTTTTCTCAGGCATAGCACAACTGTGTGCAGCTGGAAGTGGGATCAGTGTCTTTCTATAGATCTCTGTGCGCTTAGTCTTGGTGGCAGATACAAATGTCTGAAGGACTGAGATTTTTTTTTGTCCCCATTAAATTGGATTCATAAAATTTGGGTGGAGAAGGCAAATTAACTCTTGGCTTCTGTCTTCTTCTAAAGCTGTGATTCTCTAGTGGCAAAACTGTGAGGAACGCGTAGAAAAGGATAAGGATGAGTTCTGTACTGGGTACAATTCACTGTTAAGTGATGATGAGGCTCTAAACTGGAGCAGTAGACTTCTGGAATTGGAGGTGACCATGGGCTTCATCTGCTTGCATTCTTGGTGTCCAGTGTAAGACAGAGTATGCCTGATTTTTTTGTAAGTATGGACTACTTGAAATTGCAGTCTGAGTAACCTGGAGTGCAGTATCCGTTAGAAACTGCCCTGAGATGTCTTAGGTTTGTCATCCAGAAGTCAGGATAACCGGTACCAGCAGCTGCTGGAGATGTTTCCTCTAGGAAATATGTTTTTCATTTTGGCTTTGTAATCTGCTCAAATGGCAACAACTGAGCAAAACTTCGATTTTTTTTTTTTTAATCTATTTTACATTTCCTTACTTACATAGCGAAGTGGAATAGCTATCCTTGCGTCTAGCCCAATGTTTACAAAGGTAAGGCATGCTTTGTGTTCTTACATGCCTGGCATCTGTAGTGAGACCTTAAGACTAAGGGCTGTTGAATAAATCTCTTCAAAATAAGCAGGTCATTTGCCTGACTCTACTTACTCGTTAAAAATGATGGTATTCTGGCAGATGTTTCCAACCCGGTCCTTTCTGGATAGGTCCTGGTGACAACCAGCCTGATCTAGTAATATCTGCAATATAGACACAATGAAAACACAGCAAAAGAACCATAAAAATATCCATATTTTATGATAATATAAACAGGGCTCAAAGTGGCTGGATGGCAGCTGGTCCTCTGTTTTAGGGGAGAGAAGAGCTTTGCATCTTTTCTCCTCCTTCCCTCCAAGCAGAGAGTGTGGCAATGTAATTTTCTGCTTGTTCTGAGCCCAGTTTTTCTGCGAAGACTCCACCAGGAAGGATGCTGCTTTCTCAGGAGGGCAGAGGTGGAGAACACAGTCTCTGTTCCCCGCTGGCTCTGAAGAAGGTCTTATTTTGCACCAGGGCAATGCATGAGGCACTTTTATTTTCACATGCAAGGTCAGCAGTTTTCTTGCATTCGTGTACTCAGGTTGAGAGAGCACTTTTTAGAAAAACTGCTGGTCCTCTGCAGCATACTAGAATTGCTGTCAGTTGGCCAGTACCTTCCCAGCATCAAATGGCCTGTAGTATCAGAAACAAAATGTTCCCTTTTTAAAATACAGGAGGGGAAGTCCTCCTATCCTAGATGCTGCTAAGTTATCAACTCCTAAGGAAGCATGAAGGTGCTGATAACCCTGGAGATTAAGTTTCTTTTGGTTGAATGACTGCCAAATGAGTCTTCAACTCTTCATCTTTTGCCTTTGCGATCTCATGC